CGAAGACCTAAAATCAATCTCAAAATCTGCATAGAAATTATGATATTTTAGAGAAGGTTATGAAGCAAAATAAACCATTAAGAGAATTCTTAGAGTTAATTTTTATTTATTTACCTAAACTTCAATTTAATCTTCTTTATAAGTCAAACAGGTTTACCACTCAATTTGATTCGAATTTATCCTGTATGAGTATGTATGTTAGCTTATGATTAGTTTGTGTCCATCTGTTTTAGGTCCCCTTTTCTCGCTGTGTACCTCTCCATTTCCCCCTCGCTGAGTATCTCTTTTGTGTGGGCAAGTCAAGTGCCGAATGCCCGAATGCTCTTCAACTCATTGTTAACCCATAGACGGGTCGCGTAATGATCCAGAAACCGTCGGCGGCCGAAGCTTCTTTCTCACGTTTAGCGCCTGGGTCTAGGCAATGGCCAAAAACTATTCCCGGCCAGGCTAACAAGTGACGGCCATTCGGGAAAAACGCATACGTACATATACAAGCACACCATCTCGAGCAGGAGAAAACACGAGCTGTAAAACGTCAAAATATACGAGCACAGAGCGATTTAAACTGTCAACGCTGCCGTAAACATTGTCAGTGGCAAGTCGGATTTTAGGGAGTAAAAGGGGGAAGAAGGGGGCCTCTGGCCAAAACTGGAACCATGCAGATACTCGGCTACTTGTTGCTTCAAATTTGCTTATGAGCAGGCCGAAAACAACCGGCCAAGCGAACTCCACACTCCACTCCAAGTCGAAGTCGATGTCGTAGTCTGTGGCCCGGCCTGGTCTAATGTGGCTCGTAAATCCTGGCCGAAACGGCCAGTGGTTGGTAGCCTCGTTTTTGGACCGACCTGATGGATGTTGTGATGCGGCTGGGGCGGCACTTGGCCAGATTTACGCCCCGCAATTAACGTTCTAATCGCATCAATTTGTTTGGACTGACGGGGAGAGGGGCAGGGGCTAAGCTGGAGCGCAAAGCAGGTAGATAATCAGCCAAAACGACCTACAAGTCAATTGAGAGTGTCAACCTGTTGATACTGCTGGTGACGTCGGGGAAATCGCACAATTAATTAAAGCTTGTGCATACAATTAGTGGAATATTCTCTTTGATTGCGCCCGAAGTTTGACCATCAGTTTAGGTGTTTTAACGGTTAATAAAAATACCTTACCGGTTAATAATAATACCTTAACTTGTGACTATAATTTATTAAGGATAATGACAGGAAAAATGTTTCGGCAAGTACCAATCTATAAAAATGGACCATAATGACGGGACTGTGTCTAACATAATTCCTGACATACCTACATATAAGAATATAAAAGCAAATTATTAAATATATTTAAATACAAATTGATTTGAAACTAAATTACTAGCTCAAAAAGGTTTGACATTCAGTACTTGGACTATTTTTTGCACCATGTCTATATTAATTGATTGGATTTTTTGAAATCAATTATCTAAATTAAATTTTTGATTAAACTAGGAGCAAGCCGAGTCGGGAAAATAAAAAACTAAAAAAATGTCAATATTATTTACAGTTTTGAATTAAGGCGCCATTCATTCTTCCTCTTTTATGATAGTTATAAATTGTTTGGTCTGGTAGCACCAATCTTTTGCTTCTACATTACATTACCATCGTTTAGGATTCAGAGCTAGATGGCGCCACTGCTATTGTTATCCAGCCGCTTGATGGCGTCTGTGATGGTGTTTTGCGCTCCCTAATGAAAGGTCATTCGTTTATTATAATTATAAGTAATTATTTAAATATAATTTAATTTTTATAGAAAAAGAATTATTTCTTAGTTAATTATACAAAATGTGTATGAACTAAGAACTGGCTAAAAACTGTAATGGACAGATAACTAAGACGGAATTAGCTAAAGGAGCATACCCTTTCACATCCACACCACATCTGAATTAAAAACGCCAACCTTACCAAATTCTTTAACAGAGCATTAACAGCGCTGTCCAACTGTCCGTTATTTTCCCGACTAGCCTTTTGTGAACTCATTGCCGTCAAACAAATAAAAATAAACTAAGCGTAAATACTTAAGAAAAGAATAAATGCCACGAGAAGAGTTTGTCCTTTGTCCTGCGTCCACTAAACCGAAGTAGCCCCTTGCCGCCGTAGAACAATTGACCTTTCACCGGTTTCTGTTCTGGCGGGCTTTACCCATTCTGGCCTACCAGATGCGTTTGTGTGGGTGGGTGAGTGTGCTAAACTTTAAATTGTCCAATGCTACGTGCTCCGCATGCGGAGTTCATAAATCCAAGCGCTAAATGTAAACATCAACAGTTGCCCAGTTCCACCAACAACAGCAACAACAAGGCGAAGCACCAACAATGATGGCAAAAACTTGCAAAGTTCAAACACAAACTAATGCAGCAGCAAAGGCAGGAACAAAAGTCAAGCGATCCGCACCCAACGCCCTTCTACCGCCCACTAGCCACCCCCTTTCTCCTCTCCTTTCCTTTCCACCCACCCACTCGCTCTCCTTTTGACCAAGCCACTTTCACCGTTGTTTTTGTTGCCATTCTCGCACTGGTTATTGTTGTTGCTGGTGTGCTTAATACGCGATATCCAAATGTGTGTGTGCGGGTGCACAGAGAGAAACATTCAAAAATTGTTAATTAACTTGATTTATTTAAGATATTTAATTACTTTTTAAGACAACAATTTTAGTTTTTATTCATATTATTTGTATTGTAAAATATGTTAAAATTTTTTGTGACGTAAAATTATTTGTTAAACTAATTTCCTAAAATCTAAACTTACAATATTTTTCTAAATTATTTATATTAATCTTTAAAAATTGATAAATTTAGTGAACTTTCAAACTAAACTTATATCTTGATCAATTTTTTTTATAAAATTAATTAATTATTTTTTGTGTATTTTCTCCAAGTGCATGTGTGATGTGTGAGTGTAGGTGTTGGCCGCTTGGGCTTTTGGCATGGTTAGAAGGAGCACGGTCCTGTGGCAGGTTCAGCATGGAAGGCGAGTAAAATAAAATAAACTTGAGTTTTGTTTTCGTTTGTCGTATAAGCAATGGCTTAAAGCTTTTCCCGGGCTTCTCCCCTCCAACCATCCTTAACCCAAACGCATTTGGCCAGTGGTAATGACCTCCCAGCACACACACTAGCCAAGATACACACACACAAGGCCTTGTTGCACTTGCCAAGGGTTAAGTTTCGATAATTATGGATGCAAAAGTGGAGCACAAAAACGAAACTGGAAGTGTACAACAATCCGCACAGCAGTGAATGTGTGGCATGCCACACTTAAAGTCGTTTACCTTTTTGCAGCTCCTGCAGATTCTCAATTGAGTTACAATTTAATTGGTTTATTAAAACAAAGGTCCAAAAACTATGGCAAAAGGAGTAAGGGTTTAGTTTATTAAAGACACACAAGTTGAAAATATTTCAATTTAAAATCAGTTTGGTTTTTCAATCAAATGAAATATCTTTTTACACCAAACCAAATAAAAGTATATGCTTTTGCTAAATTTTTAAGAATATTTAAAATTTGTAATATTTATACAAATTAACAATTAACTTCCAAACTTGAAAATCAGTTCAAATTAAATAGCTAATATATGTAAATAATGAACTATATGAATAAAGTATAAAATGTCCTCTTTAATATAAATCAAATATAATTTAAATTTATTTACTGACACCTAAAGGCAGTATTTCAAGCCTATTAATGTGAGTGAAAATAAGCACTATCTAATCTGCCCAGTGAATTGGTTAGATGAGTCCCACATCTGAAGTGGCCAATTCAATGAATTACGACTCTGTCTGATCTAAAGATAGGCAGACAATTTAATCTATGAGTGCTTTAAATCAAGTTGAACAACCCGTTTTGTTTATACAAATCGTATTAATATTGATTAATTAGGTGAGTGCTAAACATTCGATTCGCCAACAGTTAAACTAAAATAAATACCCAGAAATTTCTAAACAATTATTACGTTCCTTTTTGGTAAATTCTCAATACATGTATGTACCATTATCAATTCAAACAGACAAAACATTTATGTATTTTCTATTTTAATTTCGTCTTTGGCTCTGTTCAGTCGAATCAATAAATAAATAGTTTTGTGGAAATTCCATTTCAATTTCAAGCAGCTCCTTTTTCGTATAGATTTTCCATTCCTTGCATTTCCTTGCTTTTCTAATTGACTGCTGACCCGGAGTCATTCGAAATTAGTGTATATATATTTCCTTTGTCTTCGCTGGCAATTGAATAACCAAGTTAACAGGTGTCCACTACATTTGATTGTGTCTTCATTGTTCCCAACTATTTATGGCTATGTCTGCGATTGGTTCGGGGAACTCCATTTATTGGAATTTCCCTCTGTGCTTGTGCAAACAAATCCAAGGACGAGGGTGAAAGGAAATCTCCGCCTAATTTAGAAAGTGTTTACAGTAAATATGCAAACAGACCGCTAAATTGGCATATAGCAAACATAAATCGCTGCAACAAAGGTGGGCGGAGGTGGGCTGGAAAAACAAAGGCAAGGACACACGTGTAAATTGAGTACACTTGAACCTGAAGTTGATTGTTGTAGCTGTTACTTCTATTGGCACTTGGCAAACATAAATAATCAAAAATGATTGGCAAACTGTGGAGGGCCCAGAAAAAAGGAGGGTGGTATTCAACACCATTTCCTCGGACAAATAGATAATCTTATCAGGCCATTTCCTCCTTATTAAATTAATTGAAAGGCAAATGGCCAAGAAGAGGATTAGGTTTTTGGCCTATCAGCCGCCTTCGAATGCCAACCGCTTATCATTTGCACTCGGTCAGCGTAAAATCCGAATACCTGTTGTTGCAGTTGCCGTGTCGCATGTTGCCGCCCGCCGGCAACATGTTGCTCGCGTGCACACTCGGTTTTTTCAGTTACTTGGCCACTCGGCACTCGGTTCGCCTTCGCCACTGCCATCCATCCATTCGATTCGCTGGCCGACTGGCGCCGCTTCTTCTGCTTTCGATTCTGCCGTTCAGTACGCTTCTGTCACTCGCCCGGCCAACAACACGGCGCGCTTGCTCCGCTCAGGTCCGCTCCACCGCCACCTCGATCCCGATCTCGATCCATACCGCTCGTCATACCGCCCATACCGCTGCAGTTGTCATTCGAAAGTGTCTCGCTCGGCGGCTCCAGACCAAGTAATCAAACCAAATTAAGACCAAAAAGCAGTTCGAAAAATGTATAAATAAACAAAGGAGAAAAACCGGCTCTTGATTTTGCACAGGGCGACGATCTTATACGCAAGATTGCCCCTGAGAGGCGAGAGGCTCGTCCGACTGCATTCTTGCATCACGTGCAGGCCGCGACACGCCTCTCAAAACCGCCCCCTTGCCACTTTCAAGGCGAAATTCGCACAGAGAAAAAAAGTCGCGATCGATGCATTTTTCATTTCTAACAAAAGTCTGAAATCAAATAGTGCACTTCATCATATTATTTAAAATATAGAATATATCATTTAATATGTTCTTTATATTTTTCGGATTATTTTGAGAACATTTCAAATTTATTTTCTAACAGCTAATACATATATTGTTTTTTTTTTACAATGCGTGGATTTTTCAGTAAATTAATCTTTATTTAATTTAAAGACTGAATTAATTGTGTAACGAATTTAAGAATATTTTCTTAAATATTTCTTGAGCCTGTTTGATCGCAAATATTTTTTTAAGCTGCGAATACTTCCGGTTTTTCTCTCTGTATTTCATTAGACTCTTTTAAAAATCTGAAATCTACAGTTCTTTGTGCAGGGCCTTTCATTCTTCTTCCTTTCCTCCGTTAAGTGTTTTGTTTTCGTTACTCAATTGAGCGGCCTCATATCATAGCCGCTAAAAACAGCTGCGAAAGCTTGACTTCTGCATATGCGGAAGGACTGGCGTGAATTGGCGGTGATATCAATCGAAAGAGGTGCAAATAGCTCGGGCGTTACTGATGTTATTGCGATTGCAACTTACTAATTAAGAGTGCAAAACTATGCACATGTTAATAGTCGAAGACAGAGTCATTGGCTATTTGGCCTCATTCAGTTCTCTTTATGTAATACCAACAAATGGAAGCGAAAACCTTTCGCTGTGTTTACTTTTTTTATTGCTTTCATCTGGCACAAAACCCTGACCTGTACCAATTCATTTGGGCTCTCATATTTTTCTTCAATCATTTGGACGTCAACAAATGTCGAGAAATCGCTGAGAGGCTTTTGAAAAGTGTTTGCTTTTTGTTTATTTGCGTATCGTTTTATTTATAGGCATTAAATGCATCTGTCGGAGAACTGTGAGTGCAGAATATTTCTATTTGTATTTACATTTGGCAATAAAAACATAAATGGCCACAAAACATAATCAAAAGCATAAACAATTTACCTCGTCAAATGTATGGAAATCAACAGCAATTTGGAACACTTTTTTTGCTTTCGATTTGCTCTTGTGTTTCTCACTTTTCATGCAAATTGGAAGAGAAGAAAAAAAAGAGATGTTCGCACATATCAATAATGATGGTGCATTTACAGATTTTCTGCGATGATTAAATGCCTTTTTTACCTGAAAAATAATATTTCGTTAACCAGGAAAAAAGCAAACATTAGGAAAGCAGATGTTTTAGTTACACAGAAAAAAATGGTAATACTTAAACCGCAGAAAATTAAAATTGTAGACAGTACGATAATTTGGTTATTGACCCTTGCTCCCACTTATTATGTTCGTTTTAATGTTAAATAATTTGCAAAGTCACTGGGCTATCATAAAATCTTTTTACCCACAATTTACTTTCGCCTATACAGATGTTTTGAGAGATATTTTTAATTTAATAATGATTGCTAGATTTAATTTTGATTTTGGTGGTAAAATAAATAAATTATTTAATTTAAATAAGTAAGAACTTAAATATTATTCTTGGAATTCGTTTGTAATTAAGCAGTTTGAAAAGCCAGTGACCAAAATATGGTCAGAAAGACTCTACAATTTGTCTCAATGTTTTCTGTTTTGCCAACGCCCACACAATGTTTTTACCAACTATACTTTGACCTGTCCACGCCACATTTGCAACGATAATTGGCGAAATGAAAAGTAAAAATATAAAAGCACCCGTTGGCAGAAAAAATATTAGAAGGAACCCCAAGTCAAAGAGAAAGAATCCCACCCAAAATGAAAACAAGACAACCTCTGACGCTTTGCTTTCGCTTTTCTATTCATCGCAGACATCCGAGTATTTTTAGATCAATTTTTTTCGGTTTCGGTTGGTCGTGATTATTTTTGCGCTTTTTTTGCAGCTTTTATTTGTCAGCAGAGATTCTCTTTTACTGCGTCTTGATCGGGGGCCATAAATAAGCAAACACGAAAGTGTAGTGACAGTGTATCAAACTATAAAATCAACTGAAGCCTATAATTTGCCACTAGCATTTGCATTTTATAATTGTCATGATTTCATATTATTTCTCCATTGATTTATTTATTTTCATTTTTCAGCCAGTTACAAAACCAGTTACAAGCACTTAAGTGCACTGGCGAAAACAATTGCATTGTAAACAGCGACAGGAGGGGAAAGAACGTGAGAAAATGCATCAATTATGGAAGCGCAACTGGAGCTGGACTCTGCTGGTTGTCTCGGGTGAGCATATAGAAACGTGAACCAATTTTGGGTTATATTTGAGCTAAAATCAGACCCGATCTGTCGGAATTCCCCGTTCAGATGGACGCTGAGAAAAGTCGGTGGAAAAATTTATGAAATGCCAATTTCACTTACGTTTAACTTTATTACCCCTGACGCACATTTGCAACTTTGTTGCAACTGACTGCTGGCCAAGAGTCTCAGATTGCCTTTTAGCTTTCAGCTTGAGCACTATTTCAATGTTTCTGTTTGTTTGTTTATTTGTCTCTCTCACCCATTCACCCACTCACCCATTCTGTCCGCTCTGCTCTCGAATTTCCAGCCCTGCTCCTCCCTTCGGTGGCCAATTCGGAGGAATGCGGCCAGGAGGACTTCGCCAAGTGCGCCGAACCACTTGATATGCTGAATTTATCGTCGAACTTCTCGCTCGGTCCGGAGACCAAGGAGGACCTGGACAAACTTTGTCAGTAAGTGGCTCCACGGAACGATTCTGAATTCGATCTACACCGTATCTAAATCCCAATCGCAATCTGTTGAACACAAGAAATGTGTATTTTCGTTTGATCGATTTGTGGATTTTTGTAATTTTAAAAGAAAAGTTGTAATAACTTGATGATCCAGAAAAAATTAACCAAGCTTACGAAATACATTTTTGTATTTCAAAACCGCTTAGAAAATAAATTAATTAATTCATTAAAAGTCATTTTAATAAATGTTATATTTTTTCAAATTGAATACAAAATTTAACATTTACTTGACAAATTTAAAGATCGCAATTTAAACGCATAGAAAGAAAATCATATAATATGAATATTGAAAGGAAATAGTTTTTAATTTTTCTATTATATATTTTTATTTTTTTTTATAATATATTTTTTTTTTTTTTTTCAGTGAGCTGCGCAAGGGAGTGAGATGCATCCAGAGCTACACTCGCCGTTGCATGGATATGCAACAAAGGAACCAATTCAACAAGATCTACCACGGAACCAACCAGTTCATTCGAGATCTGTGCAACAGGGGTCCGTTCCAGGATGAGTACCTGCGGCATGCCCCCTGCAGCAACACTGCGAGAAAGCAGTTGGCGGTTTGTGGCGAACAGTACAAGGAGACCATGGAGTTCCTGAAGCCAAATAAGAATAAGGATAACTCGGAGAATGGCACCCACAATGAAAACATTAAAACCATTTGTTGGTGAGTTAAGTAAATAATAAGACATAATACATAAGACACTAAAAATTAAATCTTTTTAAGAAATATTATTTGTCCCCTATCATATTTTTCCCATTTCCCCCTTTTGTTTTTGTGAATATCTCCTTCACTTAATTAACAATTTTTGTATTCTTGTCTACCAATATTACTTTAGTTCTATCCACGAACTTGTCGACTGTTCGGAAGCTACCGCACGAAGAATTTGCGGCTATGAAGCGGGTGCTTTCACGCGTAAACTGGTGGAAAAGTATGCCAGCAGCCTGACCAAGGTAATGCAAAGGAAAATTGTTTTTTTTAACAAATTATAATTGCATTTATATTGCAGATCTACTGTGAGTCCTTTACCCGAAATCCGGGAATCTGTCGGGAAGGCGATGGCAATGGCTCCAGTCGAGCGGGTCTGAGCAGCTTAAGCCTTCTCCTAGCAGGAACATTACTTACACTGCTGGTCAGCAGAGGCAACAGATAGACGGCGCAACTACAGCTAAGTGCAAATATCTAGAACCAGTCTTACCAAATCGGAATAATGCGCTGCAAGAGAGGAGAGAAATAGTTAAGGTTTCCCCCATCACACCGAAAGAATTCCACACGCTGTTGCATACGTTTGGCAGTCAATTTAGGCCACAAAAATCCCCGAGCGATCGAAGGAGTAAGCTATAAAGTAAAGTACATGTTAAGTATGTTATGTATACCAGTATGCATATATATATATATATAGGGAATAGATGAGCAGTGTCAAGCATAGCTAAGATCGTATATGAATACGGATATGTATGTTACTATATAATGGATATAGGCTAGCTAGTTAGAATCAGTGTTGAGTGTTGCAGGCAGGTTAGTTGTTGTTGGCCTTACTTTCCAATCGTCGTCGATCGTGCAATACTAGAGTTTCGTTGAGTTTGTTGAAGTTGTCCAGGCTTTAAGTGTAGGCATATTTTAGAGAATACCCCTAAGTTTCACAAATCGTTCTTAGCTGAAGTTAGAGTGCGCCCACAACCCACCTCCGTTTTCCGTAACACTGTCAGCAATATCTAGGTGTTTTTTTAGAAACACCTCTGTACCTCCATCCCTTATTATATTTGCAAAAGTCACACATCTAAGCGCACAAGAAAATAAATCCCCGAGTGGATCTTTCCTCACATATCGGCAATAACGTAAAAGTGCATTTCTATGAATCAGGAATTTTAAAATTATTTATTAAATTATTTAGTGGTAGCGTATATTTATTTCACACTCTGTAAATACCTTTAATAATATCCAAATTCGAGAAAATACATAAAACTAAATATTAGTTTAACTTAAACGTACACACACACACAAACACCTTCTTACAAAAAACTGTGAATATATATTATGATTAAAGAGTAACATTTATTTTAAGTAAAACACACACATGCATATGCAAAGAAAAACAATAAAAAATGAGAAAATAAATTAACGCAAAAAAAGAAAGAGAAGAGCGGTGAAATAAAAAAGGAAATGAAAGGGGAGGGAAAGGGAAGTTTTGGATGCCAAAAGCTGAAATACTCTACAGGTCGGATTATTCTGAGGAAAAGAATCATTAACATGGATAAATGCTGTTCTCTACCTTTTTTTCTTAATATCTCTTAATATTTCTAATTTTTTTTTAACGGAGTTATTGAAGAATACATTTTATTGCTAAAGTATGCTATGCAAATATTTAATGAGACTTATAAGGGTGTCATTGTAAATAAATCATTAGATTGGCAAATGCATCAAAAAGAAAATAAATTGAATCTATTACTATGTTTATACGATAGCAATCACGATTTCTTGAAAGCGCGAAATAGAAATAACCCCTGTTTATACGACAGCCGAGAATTCATGCTTTTATTCACTCTCAGCTGATAGGGATGCCGGACCGGTACAAATATCTAATTTTTAATACCACTGATTAGAGATATAGCCTACAAAAGGCCTTAAATTTCTAGAGATCTGGTAACGTCGATCATTTTTTACAGAGTTACCATACTGCATATCACCAAATCACGCTTTTGGGCTGAAATCATAGTCAACTTTCGTGTGTTGCCGAATTCACGAAATGGCGTTTATACAAGCACGAATCGGCCGAAAGCGTGAAATGATAGCGTGAGTTCGGCATCGTATAAACACAGTATATATTGACTAATAATGATTTAACGTAACTAACGACTTAGTGTAGCACATGCCACAGTTTCCGAGAGTATAGAGTGGCGTGCCAAAAAATGCTTTTTACTGCAGCCAAAAAGTATGCATCGCGCCCCGTCCGGCGCCCAAAAGTATGCTGCGCAAATATGCCAGCTCTGGTCGCAGTTTACCAGGGCGAGAAGGGTTGAGATGGGGTTATGAGAAGGGGTTGCATACATATACCAGAAGGGCTCCGTGAAGGGGGAACCGAGGAGGGGGCGACCTGCTACACTGGGGCTGGCCATAATTTATGTTTATGTGGTGCGTTCATTAGACTAGCGGCGGCGACGACGCCGACAACGGTTGACTTCTCGCCTGGCAGCTAATTTATAAGGTCGGCACATGGCTCAAGGACACACGTGGGGCCTTAGGGGGGCTTGGGGGGGTTTTTGGGCGGCAAACACAACTGCAGGTGGGTGCAATAATTACAGTTATCGCACTTGGCCAGCGGCTGAGTTTGCGTTTGACACTCGCAATCATGGTCGGACATTGATTTCACCTGGATTTGGCAATGAAATCTGGAATCTGAATAATTAACTGGTTGAACTAGTCCAAGCTGCTTGGCTCTTTCGAAAATAGTCATCATAAGCCGATAAAATACCTGATAGAATGTAACCAGTTTGATTTGATTTTATTCTTTTAAAATAAAGCTTTTAAATGGAAGTCTATTTCGAAAAGAACTTTGCCCTATGCCATTGGTGATTATATTTTTGTCCAATTTCCATTTTAATATTTCTTACAAATTTCGCATTGCATAAAAATCATCATGGAGATTTACCATTTTTGGAAATTTCATTTGCCAATAGTTTATTTGCTTGCCAACTTAAAAGTCTTTCCCTCCATCCATGGCATCCATTTCTTTTTCAATAAAAATTCATTGACATATCCTGCAATCACATCTCGGAATTGCATTTCATAAGAGACGATGTGAGGCATTTTTGGACTCTGGGCCAAGTGCTTAACCAATCAATAACTGAGTTAAGAGGGGAAGTGGCTGCGACTGAGCTGGGCGAGCCAGGTATCTCGATTGCAGCTCAAATATTTACGTTTCCATTTAGAGTGGGCAGGGAGCATCAGCCAACCGGGGGTCATTTTCAGCTTCATTTGTTGTGCAAATAGGCGAAATGCATTGCCATCCGTTGCACCTCGCTCGGTATTAATTTGAAGTCATATTTCGTATCTTGAGAACGTTTTCGTTTTTGCGGCAGAAGCCATTTGGCCATTTGATTGCTTTCGTGCCACTTTTTCTTTAGTTCTTAATTAATTGAAAATATCTTTGGGGAGCTGAAGCATCGGGAGTGGCAGGATGCCAAACAAATTGACAGCCAGTTGCAGTTTGCATTCATACGGGAAGTGTCGAGTGGCCCTTTGGTTCTCTCCCTTATCCGGCTTTCATTCGTTAGCCACCCACATATCTTACCATCTCCACCCGCTGGGAATCCCAGCAGCTCTTTCACTCATGTTTAATCCTCTTTAAGCGGCAACAGAACGATTACATTTTGATTTTTTTGTTTGTTTTCTTTTTTGCCGTTGCCGTTCGCTTTTGCTTTTATTTGCCCATTTTCGCTGCGACTAATCTGCAATTATGTTTTACATAAAAATCCTATCGCATCCCATACAACAGCAGAGTGCGAATGAAAAGTTTTCAACAACTTTGTCCAGGCTTGATTGTTTTGCCCGCTGCGATAGTCGGGAAAAACAAATATTAAACAACACAGCAAAAGCAGAGCAGAGACAACGTGGTGAATTAACGATGGATGATTTGCTTGGAACAACGATGCGTATGCGTATTATATTCTCAATTTACAGCAAACCAAAGAGGAAAAACATCAAACGGAACCAAAGATAATTGTGTACTAACTACATGCTGAAATGTGAGACTATTAACAAAAGAATGTTACAAGCTAATATTTATGTGTTAAAATAATTAAAAAATAATTACAGAGAGTAAAGTGGTTTTTACATGGAAAGGTGATTAAAATTAAAATGTTTTTTGACTACATGGAAAGATGCATTAAGTTACAAAAATAAATAAAAAAATATTCTGTGACTACAAATTATTGTAAGTCAGCTAATACAGATAATTAGTATTAACCATTGATTAACTTTTTAATAAGAGTAAAGCATTGCACAGAAATCAAAGATAGTTGGTTATGATTTAACACCCCTGATTGATAAAAAATTGACAATGAAAATTAAATCCGTATCATATGGGAAAGGTATTTAAAATGCAAACCATTTTTGTATTTAATAATTATATAAATTAATGCATTACAGTCCTATTATTCAGAAGCTCAGCCACACAATTAACGAAATCCGTTTAATTAAAATGAATCAAAATTCAAATAAACCCACTCGCATTGCCTGTTTATTACGGCCCATTGATGTAAGCTAAAATCACAATAATTCTGGGCTATGAACTATTAACAGGACTGAGATCAAAACTCAAGTTGAGCGTATTATGAGAAGCTAAGTCCGCTACTACAGTACTGAGCATATTGCTAAGCCACTGGGAATATTTAATGGCCATGGCAAAGCTCGAGAGTTCCGACTGGAAAATCTTTGAGCATTCGATGCATTTAGAAGCATTTACGTTTTGTTGCTCCCACATCATATTCACTTTGAGTATTTTCGTTTCTATTTCAATTGCAAGTCACTTGGAGAGATTAAATGGGCAACTTGCCCCCGGAATCTCCATAGCCAAACCTTTCCGGGCAGGACATCCTCTGATGGCCATAAATGCGCTTGTGGTTGATAGGTGGTGCAGGTGGGTGGCTCAGGAGAATGGAGTCAGTGGGTGGGTGGCTGAGTGGAGTGACCAGCTATGTCAGCTGTTGGCCAGCTGGCTCGGGTTTCGAATGCATTTCGTACATGATAATCATGTTGGTTGCTCCAACTTGCAACTTGCAACTGCAGCATGCATTGCATTTGCAATTCCTGCCCGGCTCTACGGTGTATGGCCATGGCCAATGGCCGATGGTCGATGGGCCTGTCTAGCAAAAGCCTGCTGTGGCTTGTCGTGGTGTGGTTTATGGCAACATCTTGTCCAATTTATTACCACTTTTATTTGGTAGCATAATAGGCAATGCACTCGCACGCACACACAAATGCACACAGAGAAAAATCAAGGAATTTTAAGATCAAGAAAATCTTAAAAATAATTATCAAAATTCTAATTATTGTAACTTTTGCATTTAACATTTTTTAAAATTTTACACATGATTTCGGCTTTACTACACTTAACAACAGATTAAGTAATAAAATAAATGAATCAAATATAGTTTCTTTTTAAACTCCAATTTATAACATTTTTTTGGTCGAAAGTGTATTTTTCCGTGTACGAAACGCACTTGTGGCGAATGCTGCCAGCCTGCCAGCATACACATAACACATATCTATAACACGTAGCACTCAAAAATACTCAAACATTGAAATTGGAGTTCTAGTTTTTGGTTCTCGTCTCGTTTCTGCTTCATCAGTTACATGCTTTGAATAATTCAAGCGTATTTTAGGCCTTGCCATAGAAAATGTTTTCCGCTTTGTCGATCCCTTTCACCCCGCCTGCATTGAGCAGCCGGATTTTGTCTGCCCCGAAAGTTATTAAATTATTTTAAAATCATCTACTGCACTTCGTAGCCACAAAGAAGTAGGCCTTTTGGCCTTTTTTGTTTTTTGTAAAAGCTTAAAGGAATTGTTCAGAAAGTGCAATTATAGCATATTAAGCCAGCTGGATTAGCATAATTCAGCGGCTCTGAGTTCAGCAGCCCCTTTTTGCGGCTCTTTGGCCAACATAACGTATACGCTTCTCTGCCACATTACGTATACGCAATGCTTGACGCCAGCCATTTGTGCTGTATATCCCCAGGCGCCGCTGGCGAAAAATAAAAGAGACTGAGAGACTGAGAGGCTGTGTGGTGACTGTTAAAAAACAAAACTCAAGTGTTGAATCGCAACCGACAGACCCTCACCCCTCACTCCGCTGCCCCCTTTGTGTCTTTTGTGGCCTTTCGCTGTTTGTCAACAGCAGCCAACACACTGCCAGCACCGCCAACACTTGAGGGGGCGTGTCAGGCGTGTAGGCGCTTTTTAATTGCACTGAAAACAAAACGCTAAACACTTGTTGGCTGCCTGGATGGCTGGCTGCCTTCCAGCTAGTTGTCGCGTGGCAAATGGCGGGGTGTCATCAAAACTCTCCAAACAGAAAAAGCCCTGCCGCCTGCAGCAGCAATTTGTGTTGCAGTCGCTGATGTTGCCGCTGACGATGTTGCCGCTTTGATTGTGCACCATAACTGCGAGGCAGCTTCCATGTACCGTTTGTCCATTGTGTCACCTTTTTTTTATTTTTTGTGCACTGGCATTTGCTGAAGTTTCGCTTTGATCGCATTGTAACATTTTGCGACAGTTTTAGATTGTAATGGGCTCCGTGGGAGAAATGAGAATAAAAACGACTCTGAATTGAATCAGAGACTAAGAGTAAAACTTGGTAATAACGGCACAGTAAACAAATTGATAAGGAATTCTATGGAATCGGAAAATATGCCACTTTTGAAGAGGCAATAATTCTCAAAAAACTTCTAAAAGTCAAAAAAGAAGGATTATTTGGCAAAAAACCAGTTAAAAATTTTGTTCTGCAAACGGATCTTCAAATGCTTTGAGATTTTTTTAATATTTTAAATAATTTAATATTTTTATATTAATTTTTTTATAAATTTTTTAACATTAACAAAATCCGGGCTATAATTTAAAAAATTAATAATCTTTATCAAAATTATATTTTATAAACTATGAAATCCGAACTCATATCATTTATAGTTTATTATGCTACACAGATTTTACATAAACAGAGAAAAAATTAATATTATTGAATCAGCTGCATTTGAAAATTGCAAATATTTACAACGCTTTTAAAAAAAATTCCAATAACAACATTGCTAAGTATATTTCTTTGTAATTATTATTTGTAATATTATTCATGCCCCTACCAGGCCTTTGATTGACCTGCTCAAATGATTGCCACATTTAATTACCCCGTTCGATCGGATAATGCAGTTAATTTTCAATTTTACTCTTTCCGAACAAACAATTTCCCACCGAGTTCGATTTATTGTGCGCTTCATTGGGACAACATGTTTAATTAACGAACACAATGAAGGCGAGTTTGTCACTGACGTTCGGTGAAATTTCTGACTCTCTGGTGACATTTGAAAAGTTTAAAATAATATAATTTTCGACGCTATATGGCAAACTAACAAGTTCGACTCGGAAGCTCGGGGATGTACGAAAATGGTACGGGGGGTGTTTTTTGGGAGTTTGTCTTAGCTAACTTTTCGCCCGGGAAAGGAGAAACTTTTTCGGCTGCACTGTTGCACCCACACACATACTCTCACGAAGATCTATTGTAAAATATGTAAGAAAGTTTCCTCAGCTTCTTGGCTGGGAAAACGCTGCGTTTTCGGGAAAGCAGCAGCGCAGCAGCAGCATCGACGTTGTCTTTGGGGAAATTAAACATTTTCTATTTGAAAACTTTGCCGTGTGTGGGGAGGTAAAGGGTCGGGATTTGGAGCGGTGGATTTTCCTAAGGTTCAAGAGCAACAGTTGCCCCTTTTGAACTGTTTCGGGTCGGTCACACTTTGGCATTACGTTAGTTCCGTTTGTTCCCTTTGTCTTCCCACCAACAATTGCCGAAGTCATAATTTTTGTGCTGGCCAAGTTTTTCGGTTTTTTTGACAAATTTAGCAGCAAATTGCCAGCGAAACTTTAGTGTGAGCATTCAACCCTGCTGCTGGCTGTTGAAACGGAATGGGTTTTAGGTTCTGGGGTATTGGGATCTAAATGTCAAGCGGCTTGATGTCATAGGTGTTGCATATTTAATGCGCCGACGCCGATGGCAACACCAGGAACAAGAGGAGCATCAGCGGACCCAGCACAGCGATTCAGACAAGTGCACCCAGAGTGCATGCAAATATTTTTGTCAACGATTGTTTTGCCGGCTCCCTCGATTCCGAATGGCGAGCTCTGACTGCGGAATATTGCAACATTCGCGTCCGGGAAAATGGGGGGCAAGGACATTCGCCCCCCCAGTCCCCTTGTTGTTGTCAACGGTTTGAGTAATTGTCGATGGTGTGAAAATTGGCAACGATGCCAACGAGCTGGAAAAGGATTTACTGGGTTATGTATGAGCCAAAGGCTGATTGAGATGAAGGAGCAGCTGGATCGAGCGGCAAATGACCATCGATGGATGTCTATGGCATCAGCGATGCTGCCAAAACAGAAATAATCATTGATCGAAAACAAAAATGAGGTCATTTAAAATATTGGAAAAATGCTAGAGTGAATGAAATTACATTTTAAAGATGCCTTTTGAATAAAAATATTTAAAGCTAGCCGAAATTACAGTTCCAGTCGAGTTTAACAATTATTTTCAATATTTATTTAGTGCTAAACGTATATAAATAAATTAAATTTTCTAAATTAATTATTAATTAATTTGAAATACGCCAAAAGGCAAGACAGTAATACTCTTTTAACAAATGCACTAATTCAATAAAAGCCTCATATAATGAAAAAGCTTTTCCTGATTTTACACAAATAAAATCAATTAAATAGATTTCAAAACAAAAAAAGCGCACAAACACTTTTTGATTACAAAAAAGCAGCCAACAGATGATTTTTTACCACAGCCTGTAAAAAACTTAGATCCCGAGGCAAATTGAAAACACGATTTCGTCCGCTGAAGCAGGCGAAAAAAATCCCACAAAAAGGTGATAAAAAACCCGACAACCAAAAATGATTTTCACATTGATGAAAATTAAATGCGATTCGGGGCAGACCAACCAATGCGATGTGTTGCATCTGCTGGGGCATTATCAAATAATTCAGTTGTAATCTATTTTAATCCGCCTGCGAGGCCCGCGAAACCGCCCCACTTGACATGGCGAATCATCAAAATGATTGTTTGCTTGGCCTCTGCCATCGCCTCCCACTTGCTCACCCACATTCCCACCACACCACCCACAACTCGTTACCTACGCCCAGCTATAAAAGTATTTATTTCGACATTTTGCTAAACATTGCCCAGATTTAAATTTCCATTCATGTAAAATTGCATAAATACATGCAAATATCGTTTGATGGAAATGTCCAGCTATATTTCAGTCACCCATTTTTTGTTTTTAGCAAGCAGCAAGGGAATTATTCAAATAATTTAAGCGGCTTAGTGTAATGGCTGGTGAGATTTTGTCTCGATCCAGAGAATGGGCGTAAAGCTGCTCTAAGCGAAAAGAACCGATGCGGTTGCTTAAATTATACAGTATAATTTGCGAATATAGATTACCAATTGCATGAAAGGGCAATTGAATAAATAATTGTTTGGGTTTATGTTCAATCGATTGGTCAGGCGTTGTGCATCATTCACAAAAGTCATCATGGATTATAAAAAAGTATGCTATTATTTTATTCGTTTTAGTGGATTAGTTGTCTGCAAGTTCACAAAGTATAGTTACCTAAAGAACTTACCTAATTTAAAACTCATTAAGATTCTTTCAATATTATAAAACAAATTCTTTAAATTAAAATTTCCCTGAGTTGTAGATATAGAAAAACAAAATTGCTTTAAATTTAATATTTTTCTGAATTTTTAGATATAAGAAAACAATTTTTAAGTTTAATTAAAAGTAAGATAATAACAAAATTCCAAATAAATTGATGAATGAGTTTTTTGTTGGAATAAGAACAAGCTCCATATAAAGGAACACCTCTTTTCCACAGAAGTCAGTCGAAGAAAATGTTTCGATCACTAGTCTTACTGCAGCTTGTGGTTCTACCTTTTATGGTTCTTGCAGATCAAAGGATCATAAATGGTAACACAGTGAACATTAAGGATGTCCCGTGGTACGCCTCGATTCTGGTCAGATCTAATCTAAAATGCAGTGGAGTCATTGTCACGACTAACTACATCCTGACAGCCGCCAAGTGTGTGGATGGTTATAGTACGGGAAAAATTCAAGTCCGGTTGGGAACCAGCAGCTGCGTATCCGGTGGAACTACGGTGGCTATCTGTGGTGTGAAAATTCACAGCCAATATTCCAGACGACGCTTCGACAATAATCTGGCGCTCTTGAAAACCTGCGAGCTAATTACCGAAAGCGATTCAATAAAGTCAATTCAGAGGATTGACAAGTTGCCAGATGATAATTCCCTAGCCAATATCACAGGCTGTGGAGCCAGATCAGGCAATTTACTACACCTATTCTATGACTTAAGGTTTATCCCCATACTGCCTGCTCAATTGTACGGCACCGAGGTGAAAATCCTTAACCTAAAGCAGTGCGCAGCCGATTGGAAGTTGATTTTTTTCTATATTGTCGAAAAAATCTCTAACCTGAACATCTGTACCCAGTCATCGGGCAAAGGAGCCAGTTCCTTTGATATGGGGGCACCTCTGGTTGTCGGCAATAAACTCGTGGGCATCCTGTCCAGGGCAGGCTGCTCCGTGAAGCCCGATGTCTATTCGAATGTCCTTAAGCACACGAATTGGCTGGATAGCAATACCAAATAGTAATGCACTTGTCATGAAACCAAATCATATTCATAACATTGTAGTTATTTAAGGTGAATTTGTAAGAGCACAAAATAAAGAGGAACATTGTGGAACGGTTGATTATAGTTGGGGAAAATTACAAATCAATTCCAAATGTCACGGTTTAATAATCTCATATATAAAAGCGTTCGAAGCTGCAAGGTATTCATATAGGAAAAATGATCCAACCAGCTTGCATACTTTTTTTATTAACCCTGCCCTGGTCGCAAAGTCTCTCGGATCCGTATATAAACTGTTCTTATGGAGCAAAAAGAATTAATATTAAGGAGGTGCCATGGCTGGCATCGGTTCGTTCTGAGAATAGGCACATTTGCATCGGCACTATCATCAACACCAACTCTATACTGATTACCTCGACCTGTTTGACAGAGCGCAATAAAACTTCTGTCCGGACCCACGATCTAGCTACTGTCACGGTGCGCGTTGGCATAAGGGATCGAGACTCGGGAACTGGAGTGAAAGTCTGCAACGTAATTCACCATCCGAAGGACAGCACGTATCCTCAGGACAACAGGCTAGCTTTGCTGAAACTCTGCAAACCCCTGATCTTCTCCGCAGAGGCCAGGGAAATCGCAATTGTCGACAAGCAGCCCCAGAAGGACGCCAAAGTCTCAATAAGTGGATGGGGTTCCCTCACCAGGTGGCGATTTCCATACCTAAATTGCGGCGAGCTCTTATGGCAAGTCGATGACCATCTCATTGATGTGAAGGCATGCGCCGCTGAACGAATTGAGCATTTTAAGTTGGCCAAATCAGACCGCACCATTTGCTTGGCCAAAAAGGGGACAATCTGCTCCTACGACAATGGAGCTCCTTTGGTAATCGAAGGCAAACTGGCGGCGATATTATACTTCGGCAGTTGTAGCAATAAGCCCGATGTCTATGTCAGTTTGTTCAGTTACAGAGATTGGATAGAAACCAATTCAAAGGACAAGAAATGATAGAATTCTTAAAACTTAAAACATTCTTAAAACTCTATGTACATTTAACAAATATATTTATTAAAATAAATAAACAAAACTATTTGGAATCCTATTTTGATTTTTATTAATTTTTAATTATTATTGATCTAGAGATTTTAAGCCCTAAATTACTATATGCAATTATTTTTTATTGACGTAAAATGTTTAAAAAAAATATGATTCGCATCGCAATCATGGTTTTTATCTTGATTCAAATATTTTTAAATTATATGATGAAATTGAAATCTTCCAATACTTTTTTGTACCTCCTATTCCATTTGTTTTGTTCAATGTATACTGTAATGTTAAATATGTTGTGGTTCAATATATTTGTGGATAATTATAAATCAATTTGAAATATCACGGTTTAATAGTCTCATATATAAAAGTGTTTAAGCAGTGAGGGACTCATATAGGGAAAATGATCCAACTAGCTTGCATCCTTCTTCTAGTAACCTTGCCCTGGTCGGAAAGTGCTTCGGATCCGAATGTTGTCTGTCCTGTTGGAAAAGAATTGACTATCAAGGAGGCCCCATGGCTGGCTTCGATTCGGAGTAACAATAGGCACATATGCATTGGCTCTATCATCAACCCCAAATCTGTACTGATCACAGCATCTTGTTTGGTACAGCGCAATCGAACTGCTGTCTGGTCACACCATATGTCTAATGTCACGGTGCGCGTTGGCAATGCGGATCGAGACTCGGGAGCTGGAGTGGCAGTTTGTGACATAATTTACCACCCGCGGGAAAAAAATTTTCATCTGGATAGCGCTCTGGCTATGCTAAAACTTTGCAAACCACTGACCCCCTCCGCAGAGGTCCAGGAAATCGCGATAGTCGACAAGCAGCCCCCGAAGGACGCGAAAGCCTCATTAAGTGGATGGGGTTCCCTCACCAGGTGGGGAATGAGGCACACACATTGCAAGGTGATCGCACGACAACAAGATGTTCAGCTAATTGATGTAAAGGCTTGTGCCGTTGAACGAACAAAGCATTTTAAGTACGCCCGATTGGAACGCACCATTTGCTCCTCCAAGATTTCGAATTTTTGCTCCTTCGACAATGGATCTCCTTTGCTAATCGATGGCAAGCTTGCGGGTATATTAAACATCGGCAGTTGTAACTTGAAGCCCGATGTCTATGTGAACTTGTTCAGTGTTAGGAATTGGATTGAAAGCAAAGCAAAGGACAAGAAATGACCAAAATGTTGAAGGCATTCTTAAAGCTCTATCTGTGTAATCGTATAAAATTTAAAAATATTATTATTGAAATAAATTAAGTAAACTTCGAGTCCTAAACAAATAAACTTCTATTCGCGTTGATACTCATATTTAATTTAAATATTTTTCGCAATGGAATTTTTTAATTTAAAATATTTCCAACTTTAATCAAAATGTTGAAAGACTTTATGACTCTATGCAATATCCCTATATTTATTTGTACTATTCCGTTTATTTTTCTCAGTGTGTACTGCACAAAATCGGAAACGTGTCTTAAAAGATCATTGCGCAACGTTTTAATATAGGTGGGGAAAATTACAAATCAATTCCGAAAGTCACAGCTTAAACATCTTATACTTTAAAAAGCAGAACCACTAAGGGCTTCATATAGTCAACATGCTCCAACCAACGAGTATACTTCTTCTAGTAATCCTCCCCTGGTCGGCCATTGCTGCGGACAACTGTGGGATTCGTGGAAACACAGCGACCATCAAGGAGGCTCCCTATATTGCATCGGTTCAGTTTTCGAATAATTACATATGCAGCGGCGCTATCATCAACCCACAATTCATTCTAATCACCTCGGATTGTGTGAAAGACCACAATAGAACTGCCTTTACTGTGCGCGTGGGCGTGGCCGATCGGGACTCGGGACCCGTGTTGCAAGCTTGCGACATAACTTTCCATCCGCACGGCAAAAAGCGTCGTTACGATAGCCGTCTGGCTTTGCTGAAGGTCTGCACACCTTTGACCCTGTCAGAAGACGTCAAAACAATCGCGATCACCAAAAGGAAGCCTAAGAAGGATGCCAAGGCCTCGATATTTGGATGGGGTTCCACCACCAGGTGGCATCACAAGAAGAAATCCTGCTGGGCCGCCTCCTCGGAGGTCCTTCGAAAGGACGAAGTTCAGATGGTAGATGTCAAGACATGCGCCTCAAAACGAAAGCTGTATTTCAAGCACCTCAGCGTTTCGGATCGAAACATTTGCACCGCCAAAAAGGATAAACTCTGCTCCTACGATAAGGGATCTCCTTTAGTCATCGACGGCAAGCTAGCGGCTATTTTAAACATAGGCGCCTGTGGAGTTAGGCCCGATATCTATTTCAGTTTGTTCAAATATAAGAGGTGGATAGACGACCACATGAAGAACAAGTAATGACCAAAAACTAACTTCCATTGGCCATTCCTAACATCGAACTGTGTAATGCTAAAGAATTAAATAAATACTAAATATTTTTTAAAGGAAATCGAATGCGTTTTCATGCTAAGGTATTAAGTCAGAGTAAAATAAAATTAAACTCATTAAATATAGCAACATTTAAATTAATGCAGTGAAAATGAAAAATCAATTAGGAATTTCACAGTTGAATTATCTTATATATAGAAGTCCCTAAGCAGTAACGTATTCGTTTAGAAAAATGCTCCAATCACCTCCTATACTTTTCCTAGTGATCCTCGCCTGGTCGTCGAGAGCACAGGATTTGGATGCCAGCTGTGGGATCGCTGGCAAAATAACGCCGATCAGGGAAGTGCCGTGGATAGCTTCTGTTCAGCTGGAAAAGAACAACCTGTGCATCGGCACTATCCTCAACACCAAGTACATACTTACTGTTTCGGACTGCGTGGAAGGCAAGAAAGTATCTGGTCTCAAGGTGCGCGTAGGCAACGCCCGTCGAGGTTTGGGAACTGCTGTTGCAGTTTGCAAAGTGATTATCCATCCCCAGTCCGACAAAAAGAAGGTCGAAAGCTATCCGGCTTTGCTGAACCTCTGCGAACCGCTAACGCCCTCGGAAAAGGTCAAAGAAATCGCTATAATCGACAAGCAGCCTCAGAAGGGCGACCGGGCCTCGGCCTCAGTCTCCGGATGGGGTTCCCTCAGCTGGTGGCGATTTCTGAACAAATCGTGCTGGGCCGTCTCACCAAATGTACTGCGCAAAACTAAAGTCCAGCTCTTGCAAGTCCGTGATTGCGCCGCGATACGAAAGAGCTTGCGTTGGTCTTCGGTGGTAACGGATCAAAACCTTTGCACCGCCAAGAAGGACAACGTCTGCACCTTCAACCAGGGAGCCCCGCTGGTCATCAATGGCAGGCTGGCCGGCTTATTGGCCTATAGCGAATGTAACAAGTTGCCCGAGGTCTATGTCAATTTATTTAGTCACAAAAATTGGATAGAAACCAATACAAAGGACAAGTAATAAACAAAAGTTAAAGTTAACTAATGTAAATTTCAAGATCAGGTATTTGTTACAAGGGAGGGGATGATAAAAAATAGAAAACGAATCAATTTCTCATGCAAAAATAATAAATTCTGGCATGGTCAGAATTTATATCACACCCAAAAAAATCCATAGCTTAACTTAGGTACTTGTTTTTTTAAAATTATACTGAATGTCTAAAGTCTATACTCTGTAGTGTTTAATTTCAATACTTTCGAAAGTATAAACTTAAGACTCATCTTATTAAAATATTTTTGAAACTCAAAAGTTTAGAAATAATGAACAAATAGTTTAGTTTCTATTACAATTCGTTTTAGTGTATAAAATTATGTAATTTTTTAAAATATACTGCAACCAAAATGAGAAAGAAAAACATTACGAAAGGGAGTATAATTACAAATCAATTTAGAACGACACAGTTGAAAGATCTTATAAATAGACGAGACCAGTCAATAACGGATTTATAAACCAAAAATGGTCCTATTCGCTTTTATACTTCTTTTATTCATCCTGCCATGGTCGGCAATTGCAGAAATCCGTTACCGAGAGTGTGGGTTGGCTGGCAAAAGAGTGGAAGCCCAAGATGTCCCATGGCAGGCAGTGCTTCACTATGGAAGTTATGACATATGCAACGGAGTTATCATCAACATCAAATACATACTTACTGCGCCGGACTGCGTAGCAGATAAAAAAACCTCCAATCTGTGGGTGTATGTAGGCTATACAGGTTCATACACTGGATCCAGAGCGAGAGTCTGCAAAGTAATTATACATCCCGAGTCCAGCAAAACTAAGCAGGACAGCAACCTGGCCTTGTTGAAACTCTGCGAACCCCTCTTACCCTCTGAGGACATTAAGGAAATCGCGATTATCGACAAGCAGCCCCAAAATGGGGCCCAAGCCTATGTCTCTGGACGGGGATCTTATAACAAGTTGTTTGGGCGGTGTGGCAAGTATGTTATCCGAAGAAAAGAAGTGCAGCTGTATGATGTGAAGACTTGCGCCGCAGAGCGAAAGAATTCGGCTCCCAACATCAGCGTTACGGATCTCAACATTTGCACCGCCAAGAAGGAGAGGATCTGCTCCTTCGACAAAGGAGCTCCATTGGTCATCGATGGCAAGTTGGCGGGCCTAATGGCCTATGGTGATTGTTCCACGGAACCAGATGTCTACTTCAATTTGGTCCATCACAAGGATTGGCTGCAAGCCAATACAAAGGAACAGTAATGTCGAGGAGTTTACTTCAAACGTTAAATAAATACGCAAGGAAATAAACTTAATGAGCTAAAATTCGTGTTATATTTCCTCCGTTGAAAAAAACCCTTTTTTGCTCGATCATTATTTATTCCCCATACGCATACCGTATATATAACTTCTTACTTCAGTTAAATTTGTAAAAACAAAAAAAATTAAAACAAATCATTACGAAAGTGAGAAAAATTGCCAATCAATTTAGAATGTCACAGAAAGATCATATATAATGAGGAACCCTATCGATAACGGTCTTAGGAAGCAACAATGCTCTATCCAGCTTCTTTACTTCTGCTAGTCGTCCTGTTCTGTTCGGCGATTCTAAAAATTATCTATGATTTCTGTGAGATAGCTGACTGCGTCACGGACAGGAAAGTATCTGAGCTAATGGTGAAAGTAGGCTATGAAAGCGTACTCAATGGAGTTTGCAATGTAACTATCCATTCGCAGTCCACGAAACTAAGCAGGAGGAGATCAAGGAAGTAACGTTAGTCGACAAGCAGCCCGAAGCTGGGACTAAAGCCCGAATCGTTGGACGGGGATCATATAGGGAAATGAAATGGTGTGGTGCCGGCTCAACCAAACGATATAAATATACGCAGATCTACGATGTGAAGGCCTGCGCCGCTAAGCGAAAGCATTCCGCTCCGAGGATCAGCGTTACGTATCTTAATATTTGCACCACTAAGAAGGAGAATTTATGCTCCTTCGACAAGGGAGCTACCTTGATAATTGATAACAAGTTGGCCGGCATAATGGCCTTTGGCGATTGCTCCACGGAGCCCGATGTCTTTGTCAGTTTGTTCCATTACAAGGATTGGATAAAAAATAATACAAGGGACTAGTAACGCCCAAAAGTAAAAATCATATATTTCAAAAGCGTATACATATTTCAATACATCAAAATAAGTTGATTTCTAGTTATTGTGAAGTTTACTTATTGAAGAACCTAGGATCGTTGTATCCTTATTTAAATAAGAAGTCTTTGTTAAACTTGGCTAGTTACTTTTAACTGTAAATAGGGGTACTTGGGCAAAAAAAAGTAAGTAAAGTTAAAGATCCATAGATATACGGTGCCAAACCGTTTAATATTATTCAGCCGTTTAGCACAACCAATTGATTTCATAGGTATATACACACAAAAAAATTTGCTTGGTAAAATTGACCAACAAAGATAGTTACGTAACTATTAAAATAGTTACGTGTATTTTGTTTTTGCTTTGGGTTTGTGTCTTTGCTAATTGTGTGTATTTTGTTGTTGTGAAATGACAATTTACTTAGTAGAATTGACAATTTTGCTGGTTGGGGCCTGTTTGACAATTATTACAGTTGATTTTACCAAGTTTTTTTTTTGTGTGTATAGTAGGTATACCTAATATAAAAAGAACAATCCTCTGCGTAACCAGTTATAATCGAGACCGTGATGCTAAGAGCTCTACCACTCTTTCTAGGGCTATTTCTGCTCGTTCATTCCGATCCCTTCCCAGATCCCTTTCCCGCTACATATACGGATCCGGAGGAGGAGGAAGCTAAGTGCAATTCTAAAACAATCGGTGGCGACCGTGTGGACATTAAGACGGCGCCTTGGATTGCAGCGATTTCGATCACGGAAAAGGCCAAGTGCGCTGGGATCATCTACACATGGAACTACATTTTGACGGCTGCCAAGTGTGTGGATGGGTTTATGAACAAGGCGATTAGGGTGCGCCTGGGCAGCACCGATCGCAGCACTGGGGTCACCGAAATCGATGTCTGCAATATCCACCTGCACGAGAAGTTCTCCCCCCACACCATGCACTATAACCTGGCCCTGCTGAAGTTGTGCCGACCGGCCAAGGCCTCCAATACAATCCAGACAATCCAGCTGATAGACAAATTCCCAGCGGATGGCACGAAGGCCTTGTCAAATGGCTGGGCTTCGTTTCGATGGTGGGCCATCTATTGGACCAGGTGCCTGGACGACTTGGCACACGAGCTGCAAAGGGCCGAAGTAAAGATTTTCAATCACAAGAATTGCGCGGGTATGTGGCCAAAAACGACTTTTGCAGGAGTAAAACTCCCCATTCCGAATATCACCGAGGACTTGTTCTGCACCGATAAGGCCGGCATTTCGGCCTGCTCCTTTGACACTGGAGCTCCATTGACCCTCAATGGCAAACTCGTTGGCATCCTGACCAGGGGAGGCTGCTCCCAGCGGCCTGAAATCTACACCAATCTAATTAAGGTTAAGGACTGGCTAGTCAATAATTCAAAATAAAAATAAACATATATTAATGCCTGAAATTATGTAAAAAGTATCATTTTTTAAACACTTTTAAGGGAACCATTTTAAGTTCTTATATTATGAACAAGCATTATAAACAATCATTTTTTAAGGTCTTACACACAAAAAATTTTGCTTGGTAAAATTGACCAACAAAGATAGTTACGTAACTATTAAAATAGTTACGTGTATTTTGTTTTTGCTTTGGGTTTGTGTCTTTGCTAATTGTGTGTATTTTGTTGTTGTGATGTGACTATTTACTTAGTAGAATTGACAATTTTGCTGGTTGGGGTCTGTTTGACAATTATTACAGTTGATTTTACCAAGTTTTTTTTTTGTGTGTAACAATATAAAACTTCATTCGTTTTCCTATTTCCTTAAAAACTTACATTTCTTTAATATTTTTAAGGGCCACAATGAAATTCAATTTAAATATTTCATTATTAACTAATTACCTAGCACTACTTCCTATTGAGATAGAACTTTGAAAAGTATATTTACCTATAGCTAAGCCATTAATCAATTTGAGTTATAACTTTGCAGATAAGAAGTACTGGAGAGTTTTTACCTATAAAAAGAGTTGCGAATGCAATATCAAATTCAGTTGGCTATAATGAACCGGCTGGTGTTCCCTCTTCTACTGGTGGCTCTACCACGGATTATTTTTGGTGATCCCGAGCCCCAGAGCCGCATCATTGGAGGCTACTATGTGGACATTGAAGATGCCCCCTACCAGGCGGAAGTGCTTATAGATGGCACTGCCATTTGCAGTGGTGCCATTATCAAACCAAGGTTCATCCTAACGGCAGCTTCGTGTGTTTCGGAATACAGTTCGGTTCAAGTGCGAGTGGACACCAATTCGAGGGATTACGATGATACTGGAACTTTGGTTCCCGTCTGCGATATAATCACTCATCCGGGATACAACTACTGGCGATTCGACAACAATTTGGCGCTGCTTGAGCTGTGTGCTCCGTTGAACTTCTCTGAAACTGTGGAGCCCATCAGTTTGGCTGAGGAATTACCGGAGGATTATTCCTGGTGTGTGGTTGCCGGCTGGGGATCCACCAGTTGGTGGGGCAGCTGGTGGGACAGGTGCCTCGGCAGTCTGCCGGACTATCTGCAGATGGTCTGGGTTAGCGTCTACAATCGGGAGCAGTGCGCCGCGGATCGGGGTGTTTGGCTTGGACTCTGGGATAATGGCATCTCTGCTCTGACCCTCTGCACCCAGTACGGTGCTGGAGGTTGCTCCTACGACACAGGGGCTCCCTTGGTCAGGAATGGACTTCTCGTGGGCATTCTGTCCGAAGGCGGTTGCTCCACAAAACCAGATGTCTACGCCAGTGTGATTTGGTTCCAAAATTGGATAGACGATAATACGGAAGATGATGATACCACGACTTCGTCGAGTAGTGTTGCAACTCGTTCTAGTGCTGGTACTACTTCCAGTTCTAGTTCTAGTTCAACACCTACTCCCAGTTCTAGTGCTAAAACTACTTCTAGTACTACAACCACTTCAAGTTCTAGTACTGAAACGACTTCATCTAGCTCTAGTACAACTCTTACTTCCAGTTCTAATACTGAAACTACTTCTAGTTCTAGTTCCAGTACTGAAACGCCTTCTTCTATTTCTAGAACAACACCGACTTCTAGTTCCAGTACTGAAACTACTTCAAGTTCTACTTCTATATCAACACCTAGTTCTAGTACTGAAACTACTTCAAGTTCTACTTCTATATCAACACCTAGTTCTAGTATTAAAACTACTTCAAGTTCTACTTCTATATCAACACCTAGTTATGGTCATAACCTACCTTAAGTTCTACTTCTATATCAACACCTAGTTCTAGTACTGAAACTACTTCAAAACCTAGTTCTAGTACGGAATCTACTTCAATGTTTACTATTGAGAGAGACCCACCAACAAGGTTTTACCTATAAGTTGTTTTAATTTTTTCTTATTTAAAATTTTTACATAAACTTGTAAAATAGTTTCAGAATCACCAGTCTTTGCAGCAAGACCGATTCAATTAATAAATAAATAAGCTACAAGTTACTAATTGACACCCTTAATAAAAAAGAAAATGTGACACCCGCTTTCATAGCCAAGCTTAGCTCGTTTTGCCCTCATGTGTTTGGTTTTCTTACTCCCCCAAAACCACAGTCCTTGGGTTCCATTCTGAGTGTCTAAGGCTACGTCCATGGAAATGTCTAGTACAACAGCCCCTGGACATTTGCATTATTCATGCTGGTCAAGTCAAACAGAAACAGAATGGATGCCATGGGTATGCGGTGTGATGAAGTTGGGATACCCTTAAAAAATCAAGAAGGGATTAGACAATATGGTCAGTAGTAGGAACACTTGGCCAGGAAATAAAAAAACTATATAACTATTGGATAAAATGTTCACTTCTCCATATACTTAAGTTAATTAAAGTTCAGTTCTTGGTCGGCCAACAAAAAGTGAAAGACAAATTGAGGCAGAAAAAGATGGAGACTTTGGTGCGGTGGCAACTCGTGATGAAGAGTCCCCTCAGGTTGACACCATTTATAAAGCTGCCTGGCAGCTGGCTGCATCCATTTGTGGCAAGTGCAACCGCGTTCGGGTTCAGCTTACCACGTTCTGGCTGACAAAATCAAGATCTGGGGACATGGGATTTACTTGGGCCAGGTTGCCTCGAAGAGGAAAATAATTTTAGTGCAAATTGAAAAGTTCTCTCTGCTTAGACAAATATCAGCAAGAGTGGGCAGCTGCTGCAGATGCCTGATGCTGATGCTCCTGCCTCAAGGACATCGACACGAAAGCCGTTCTGACCATTTATCAGAATGTTATTGGCCAAAAGACAAAAAAAAGAGCCGGCAAAGGGAGGAGGAGAACCAAGGAAAGGACAGTCAGGAGAACGAAGACAACTGCAATAAAATGCAATGTTTCTATTACAGCGATTTACGTGCACACACCAACGCTGACAGACAGTGATGACTCTTAAAAGAAACTCGTTACTAACTAGCACTATCGATACTATCGATGGTTTAACTGTTTAGAAACCATCGTTGGTTTGTGCCCAATAGGAGTATCGATAGTTTCGTTCAGCTAAATAAATTAATTTTACATGTTTTTTTTAATTTTCTCTAATTAATAAGATCAATATTGATAGCCAAAACTATCAATGGTGCCGCTTTTCGATGTTTTCACAATCCTAGTTCTCGATTTTCGAGACTACTTTCGTCATGAAAAATAAAATCGACACTTTTTTCACCTTAATTTCAAAATATATTCGATTTTATTTCAAAAAACAAACTTGAGAGCTCTTTGGTCTTGATATTAAGAAAGATTTTTCTTAAAAAAGTGAGAAAACTAATTCTCAAGTTATACAGACTTGATCTCGATTTTTTTTGTGCATGATTAACAATTATTACCCATTTAAATTTGTACTTTTGGTCCATTCCGTCTAACTTTCACTGTATCTCACGCTCCAGTCCACCCATTTAGCATCACCCCGCCGCGTGAGCAACATTTTTATGGCTTCTTGGACGAGCGGAATGCTCTGTTTTGGCCAAAGCAAAGTTTTCATGGGTTGCTGTCCTTCGCGCGACGACTTTTTGTAGTTGTTAAGTTGTTGGTGTTGCCGGGTTGTTTGTTAACTAGCAGCAACTAGAAGATAAGCAGCCGAAATGTTCCTCTTGCCGCTGGTCAGATGCATTTATTTCCCTTATTCTTCTCGTGTGCATCCATCGCTTCGCTCTTTTTTTGGCCATTTTAATTGCTGTTGAACTTGGTGTTTGGCAATTGGCCGGGCAACAAAACAAAACCCATTACAATAAAAATGGAAGCGGGAGCAGAAAATCGAAGCAATATATTTGATTTAACTTGTTTGCACAAAATAGTTTTGTTGGCCTTTTTACTTTTGGCGCGCACAAATAAATTTGTTGACGCGCTTTGAAAACTATTTTGGGAATTGTGGAGATTTGTGGGAGAAAAGCAGAATTATTATGGCCAACATATAACAACGTTGCAACAATTTATGGCATTGGGTTGCGTTGGTCGCACGTCGACCGAAGTATTTAAGTAAGTGAGAATTGAATTGCAAAACAAAATGTTAACTGTATTTTGCTCTCGGCATTGAAAGGCGAAATTAGTGCACATAATGGAAGTGTTTAAATAGTGTTTTTTTATTCCAAATAATATGCTTTTATTGTTCAGTGGCAACCACATGCAAGCGATTAAATATTTAACCTCTTTTTGCTGTGCCCATTTCTTTTTGCGTTCATTTATTATTTTAACCAAATTTTCATTTTCCAATTAAGTATAATATGTTTTTAATTCATGCACTAGGATATTTAATTGAATTTGTTATGCAAAAGCGATTCTCTTTTCGTTCTCCTCTTTTTAATTTTTTTTTGTTTGCCGCCCAACAACGAAACAATTAAATTTGCCTCTTTATTCGAAAGCCAAAAATAGGGGGCAAAAACATTTAAATTAGGATTAGTTCCGTATGTGCGTGAGCTTTTAAATCAAAACATATGCAAAGCACAGACGGCGACGGGTGGAGTCAGCGGGATGCCGTTTTGGCCATTCGGCATTTTTCTTTACGCCGCGGGAATATTGATTTGGCCCCTGTCCAGATAATGGGAGGTTGGGGGTTGTTTTGTCACACACATAAATTAATATCCTAACAACATTTGTAACTGAGCAGTCGCCCCCTTTGGTCATTGCCCGTGCCGATTTCCATTTTCCGCTCCGGAACCCCCGGACAATCCCGGACAATCAGAGACATTTGGTGTCGGGCACGTCGTCGCGCGCATTTTCAAATTATATTATTTTTGAATGGCTTTTTAGAAATTAATAATTACATATGACAACCATGTGTGCGAGGCTCTGTGTGTGCGTGTGTATCTGTGTGTGTTAGGGAGGAGAGTGAAGGGGGCGTGGCTGGTCGGACGTGGCACTTAATTTTTTGTATTATGGCAACTGTCAGCACCCGGCTTTAATGGCCATTTAAATTGGCACAGCCAGCAATAATAAACTAAAGCATATGTTAAGGAATCAAAAATGTATTTTAAAACAGAGAAAAAATCTTTTTTAACGTTCTGTATTTAAAATAAGAATAATTTAAGGAATCTTTGCCATTCATTTTTTTTCTTATGTCATATTTTCCAAGAATTATTATCGTAGAATTATTGTTAGCAATAGATTTGGGTTATTAAGATTCTAGTTGGTTATCTGTCGAAGAAAGTTAGCTTGAAGATAAACAGCTCGAAAAAAAATTCCTTTTCTCAATGCACACTGGGCCAGAAAGTTAATTTTTTGGCCAAAAATCTGTAATTTCTTTCCTAGGACAGTTAGAAGGATGCAGTTTTTTGCGTTTTTTTCTTAAAAGATTGAACTTTCCAACGAACTAAAAGTAAAATTTCTTGGAATTTTATATGATATAGATAATCCAGACCAAAGTCGCAAAATTTTACGTACTTTTCGGTTTTTTATTTTTAAAAAAATAACTAGAAGACGCACTTCTTCCATTTTCAAAAACAATAAAGTATGAGATAAAACAAACTAAAAAAAATTAACATCACTAAAAAATATTATGTCATTTAAGATTTATGAACCGTTAAAAAGTGCAACTTTCGGAGGCTCCCACATCAACGTTTATCAAACAATCGATTTAAAAAAATTTCTATTTTTTTGTTCTTGTTACCTTTTAAGTTTTATATAATCAAATTATGTAAAAAAAATTGTTTAAAAATATTGTTTTTTGATTTGTTTAATGTTAATTTGACATATTCTGAAGTCATCACAAAAGTATGCTAAATTTTTATTTGCATAGTCCTGATTAAATAGATAGATATAGGTTTGGAAAATACCATAATCGATTAGTGTACGTAAAAAGTAGATTTTAGATGTTAGTCACACTAAAATCAAATTTTTGAGCGCAAAATGTTCACCAAAACCTGAAGAAATAAAGTATGGCATACTCTTGGGCTCTCTTAGCTAAGCTCTTCAAAATAGCTCGACTTCGAGTTAAGCCTTCAATTAAAACTTAAATTACCGAAAACTAAGGCAAAACCGCATCGAGTCGGTGGGCTACGCTTTTAGTAAATTGATCAACGAATTTTTTTTGAAGGAATGAACTAATTTGGGGATGGCACTCGAAGGCACTCGAAAAGCAAAGTACTCATTTGCTGAAAAAAAGCGTAAAAATTAACAATTACATTTATTTTAGCAAACAAGTAAGACATACGAGCTATATTATATTTTTTACTTGTTGAAAATAATCCCTTCTGCAAGTTTCGGAAAGAAGTCGAACAGCAACATCAGCATCTTTGACTTCTAAATTTTTTTTCATTTCCATCAATATTTTATGAATTTTTCACTTTGAAAATATGGTAAAAGAAAACTACTTGCCCGAATTCTTTGAAACTTTGGCATAAATTAGTTTAATGTATTATGAAAAGGATTCCAAACTCAATTTGGTCATTTTCTTAAAAAAGAAAAACGTATTTTTGGCCCAAAATCTGATCGGCTGGCCCAGTGTGCAATGTGAGGTTAGTTAACGAAAAGTTTCAAGTTTTCAGCCAGATAAAAAAGTACAATTTTATTGAAAAACTTGATTTTTGCGAAAAAGCAATTTAACTTAACCTTGAAATATCTGAAAATAATGTTAAAAATATTTTGATAATTTAATTTTAAGGCTCTGTAAATTTTTCTTCGTTCTATGTTTTTTTCTTTTAGTTTATTTTTGTTAGCCAACAACACATTCATTTCTCTACCATTCTATTCCTTGGTACCATCTTTTTTCTGGGGTCCCCGTACGCAGGACGCCAAATGTTTGTCGATCCCAGTCGGAGACCCAGAGACTTGGAATACTTTGGAATACTCCCCCATTATTAATTGCTAACGTGCGCTGATTTCTTTGCTACACTTTTTGCGGCTCTCCATCTTCCGGTTTTTGTTATTTGTTGCTGCCCTCCTTTTGGCCAATGTTCAGTGCCATTTAACCCTTTCGCTGGATGTTCGCCTGGCTGTTCGCTTGGTTGTCTTGTCCATTTGGCTCGGCAGTGACATTCATGCACCGGCGAGCAAACCGTCGCCCCAGCAGATGAGCGAGGTCCATGGCCA